AGTCTCCAGCCCAAAGCGAAGCAAAACCAGAGACCCTGGTACGCCACCAACCAAATATGTATTATATTATTGTAACCAAATATGATTATATTTATATAATATAAATTGGCAAGCACGTGCGCTCAGCAATTACATAACATTATTCCTACCTCTCCATTCCACCATCGGACAAATAGAAACTCGGCCAGTCTCCACCCTAATGTCATATCCTAAGAAAAACATAGAGTCATCGCTTTCGATGTTGTCAAAAAAGCGACATAAACAATAAATTTGCCAGGGCTGTCATAACGGGAGATAATAATTTTTTTTTTTAATTCCACGTTTTAACAAATTAAATAACTGAATCACACAATTGGTTTTCAGAAATAATAGAAATAGGTTATAATCAGCAGAGTTACCAAAATTAATCAATTAATGTCGAATACGACATAAGCAACTTACATCGTATCTTCATTTCTCCATTTTATATAAATTTAAATTCCTGAGCACACTCGCATGCACTTTTATACGTGGTATAGCAATGCTGCAGCAATTGAAATTGTAGCATGTTTTGTGCTCGAAATAAGTAAGCGTAAAAAAACCTACCTTTAAAATTCGTCTTGACTGTTTGATCTTTCCTTTCTATTACTGCCAACACTCAACAATGTATTTACGATAGTATTCCAATCTAAAATGTATAGAGAACCAATTATGAGCCATATAGGTTGACATCTTTGTTTAAAGTTAGTTATACATTGGTAAGTCTATCGTCAGCACTGGCAACTTAGGACTATACTCGTAACTCATCTGCACATGTGACACTTGAGTTGTTAGTTGCATGTTGCAAAATAATAATTGGGATAGTAATGGTTGGCATATAACGAGTCCATTATATTCAACGGTCATTACATTATATATCTGAGACGTGGCCCTTCACTGCTGGCCGTATGTGGAAACTTAAGGTTGGTCAGCGAGTTAGTGAGAGCGCTTCTCTATAAATTTCTCGTCGCGATAAAATTTGTAATATAAATATATTTATTGTATCATAATTGAATTAAACGAGCAGACACTCCACCTGACGGTAAGTGGATTCTTTGGCCCACACATCTACTCGTACATCTATCATTGATTAAGGATTAATATGCAGATGCATTGTCACCTCTGAGGACTAATATGTACATATTTTAACTTTTAACATATAACTTTTCCAGTAAATATGCTTTCCGGTTATACACTCACCATTCGAAACACAGCAGCATTTAAAATAGTACTCGTTTGTCACGCTTGTTCTATTAAAAAAACTCAGAATATTTATATCATATAAAATTTAGCTCAGCCGCTAAAAAGCAAAAAAGCTTTGTACTTATTAACTTGTATAGCCTGCATACAAGTTAAATAAGTACAAAGCTTTTTTAATCTTTACTAAAGTAACTTATTTGTTTGTCTCTAAGTTATGTTAAACCACCATATTAAATTGAAACTTGTAAACGTTAATGTATTATTAAAGGATATTTAATGCCTAAACATTGTTTATAGAGAATAACTAAACTAACACCGACCATATTGCGGAGAATTTTTGCATCAAATTATTGAAATCAACTTGATTATTATGACAAAATTAAGAAGAATATCGATTAATAATAACGCTTTTGCTAACCATACGCTAATCGTACGATTAAAAATCATTATTCATCCGATATTCGTATAAATAAGAAAAAAAATATCGTTTAATCAATTATCATATGAATAGACACAATAGCTGGTGTTAATCATACGATAATAGTATGCCAAGTAACAAGGAATAATCATTTATTGTATTTTGTAAATCTTCTTCACAATATGCTGATGCGTCACATTGCGAACATAGCGAATAATTGATGACAGCAGTACATTAAGTTGTTAAGGCGTCTAAATGAGCAAAAATCAACATCAGGGAGTACTTTTTTCCTTTTTAACAAATAGCTTACGTGCGCAGACATTTAAAATCGCAACACTTTGTGTATCTAAATCCATTTGCAATCCAATATTAAGATTGTTGCTCTATCCGCGGGGGAGCCCTAGTGACTTGTAATAATACAGGTTTTTTATACCTAAATCAATCACCCGTCACACACAGGTTAGGTACCAGTCTGGCACTTTTCTAATACTTAGCACTAAGATTGTGAAGAGACAATAAATAGATTTATTCATTCATACCTTTAAACGATAAAATAGGAGAAACAATACGCCATCGGTCAAGTTCCCGCCAAAGCTCCCATGAATAATCCTATTTTCAAAATAAATTATATCTGGCCAGAGTCTCATACAAAACAACATTTTTCGCGGAAGTTTCTGACTGGCCTGTCGTATTTTGACTTTATGCGTATATATTATGTAATGCGTGTGTCTGTGACATTTTGCACACTGTTTACGGAACATTAAGCACGTTATACGTGTTGTAGGATAGGTCAAAATCTTTTGTTCAAAATATCATAGGTAATCATAATCTTTTGTTCGAAATATCGTACCATTCTTTTAAACATTTTACATTTCTATTATACTTCCTACCCTATTGCGCCCCTTAGGTGTTATAAATGTTACGTGTACAACCAATAGTGAAAAAACACGTATTAGTTCTAAATGCCATCCAGATCTTGTATAAAAGCTAAATGATAATGGTATAAGATTATTAAGTTTTTTTGTCTTAATTTTTTTATAGTATAAGGCTGACAAACGAGCACACAGTACACTTGATGGTACGTAGATGCTGTGGCCCATAAATATCTAAACTTAACCTCGATTAAGAATCAAAATGCGGATGCGTTTTGGCTGATAGGCAGTTATATCATAAGATTAGATTTACCACGGAAATGGGAGAGGAAGAGAGACATCCTGAGTTGCAGGTTTCCCCACATATTAAAATTTCGAGGACACGTGAAGTCCGCCTGCTCACAACGGATATTGCTGCAGATATAAATCCCCCATCAGGTTGTTATTCGTCAGGCATTTTTTATATTACATATTACTATTTAGTGATAAACGAGCTAACAATTCACATGACGGTAAGTGATCGTTGCAGCCCATGGACACCTGCAACCAACTTCAAGCAAAGAAGCCTACAGATGTGTTGTCAGCTCTCGAGTAATTAAATATAATGCTTTATAGCCTGTAATTAAACTGGTTCTGTTCACCCTTTAGACCGTAAAACAACATCAGTGTACGCACTGTTACTTGGCGGCAGAAATTGGTAATAGGGTGGTGTATATTCCCTCAACCGTATCTCTCTAGATGGCCTTATTTCTTAAATTTTGAAGCTGCAATAGCTTGTATTTACTGCATAGGAGAAATAATTTGCTTAATTTCGGTTTTTTTTTAAATATGTGGGTATAATGTTATGGTTTATACAATAAAATATAGTAAACATGTTTTTAAACATTAGTGCTACAAACGAAGTATAATAATAATTACGTATTTTTAAAAAAATAGCGAAAAATGGCGGGAATTGTATCGCCACAATGAATGATGACAATAGATATTTGATACATAGCCGGGATGGATGTTTTGACTGTTGAGCGGATATAATGTCCTCCAGACTAAATTTCAAGGTCGTGTTGGTCACCTAGGTGTACGCGTAATCATAAGTGCATTCTCTATTCCCTCTCACTTATAGTCCGGTATTCCGACACGTTCGGAGAGAGATCAGGCGCAGGACCTACGGCTTTACGTGTTATCCTAGGCATTGGGAGTAAAAACACCGCTTACTTTCGGCTTCTGGCTGCTACTGAAAATTTCTTGACAGAAAGAGCCAACAACTAATTTTGACCCGAACCGGGAATCGAACTCAGGACCTCATGGTGAGCAATCGTGTTTACAGGCAATAGAAAAAAAAGGGGGGGGGGTTATGCACAACTTTATAGTGTCCTAAGCGGAACGTACCCCCTAAGCAGAAAAACATTTTCTAAGCCATACCACTGTATCGACAGATACTTTCGATATTTTTTTTAGTTAAAAGAAGAACAATTAATTAAGATCAGCAGGATCTAGACTGCTGAGCTGCCTCTCCAAGGATTACTTTAATGCAAAGTCCTGGGCTATTAATTCATTGAAATTAAAAGCATCAAAGATTCAAATCCTACGTACGTACTGTACACGTATCGCGTCTTTAAAATATTTTTTATTTTATTTCTCAAACATGCAGGTTTACTCATGATATTTTCCTTCACATCTGTGCAAGTGGTAAATCAGCACTTAAAATTGCAATTAGCAATTTTATTGGTGCCTGCGGGGATCGAGCCCGAGTTGCTCAAGTACTGCAAAGCGTAAATACAATGTTCTACAAAACATACAACCGACGCTCCGAGAAGTCTGCAGTCTGTGAACATGTTCAAGATCGTGCCCACCGTTACATCCAATTTAAAAAATCATAAATCGTCGCAAAAGAACATCAATTTATACCAAGGATGATACGCGTAGCTATTGAAATTAAAAAAAACATCCTAATTTCTATAGAGAGAATAGGTGGGTGCTGCCATCTGCTTGGAATCCTATAAAACCACTGCAAGACTTAAAGATACTATAAGCTCAGTCCCCCCCCCCCGTCCCCGTGATCACATTGCTGTAAAGCACCCAAAACTTCGGGAATTAAAAATATGTTAGAAATAAATTAATTAAGCACGGTGAAATCGGTATAAATAGTTTTATTCATATGAGCTTTGTTATTTATTAGGCATGGCGTTTTAATTCTTACGAACGAAAGCTACTTTATCATCAAGACAATTTTATGAAGATAATAACTTTGTTCTCTATAGCATGTAATTTAGACGCATAGTTAAAGAGATAATAAAAATTTAAATAATTCGAACGTCGAATAATCCTAGCCGCCCGATGAGAACCGAGGGAAAACAGCAGTGAACGCCTCGCGAGGTGACATGTCGTGTGGCTCAGACGCGTCATATACACGGGTGAAACTGCGGGGCACAGCTATTATATATACTTATATCCCCACATACTAAGGAAGCACATAAGATTCCCACAAAATAGGAATGAAAGGAATCTTATTAAGCGGAAGTAAGTACTTACCTTTCTATCTAGTATTGACCGTTAAACTTATTCACATGTGAAATACCTAGTAATTAAAATATTATTCTGTTATTTTAAATGAACAATTTACATAAAAAGTGTGCCAAGACTAGGCAAATAAGTCATGCAAAAACAAATATAATTTTATTGCACAATTTACTATTGTATAATAATATTGTATCCTTATTGTAGATTTTATGATAAATATGGGCTATCCGCTGTGGTGGGGTGCATCGATTGTTCACATGTAGCCATAGTGAGTCCTTCGGAGCACGAGGAACAATATTTTAATAGAAAACATTTTCATTCGATTAATACTCAAGTTGTAAGTTTATGAACAATATTTTAATGTTTTTATTATGACATTCACTATTTTATTACTTACATTTTATCCTATGTTACATTGATGGAAATTCTTTTTCAGATATGTGACAGTGATTTATTAATTACAAATGTTGATGCTTCATATGGTGGAGCAACTCACGACATTTATATTTGGAGGGAATGTGAGATAAGAAACCACTTGGAGGGTCTCCAGGATGAAACAGTTTATCTATTAGGCATGTCTTGATTTATAGTTTTGATATTCATTATGTATAAGTAATGTGATGATGCAATTTACACTAATATTATATTTTTAAATTTTTAGATGATTCTGGTTATGCTCTAAGGGAGCATATAATGACACCTGTAGATAATGCTGTTGAGAACTCTCCAGAGGGAAGGTACAATTACCTCCAAAAACTCATAGAACGCACATTTGGTGTATTGAAGGGTCGATGGAGATGTCTTTTGGCAGCTAGAGAACTCCATTACTGCCCAGAAACAGCAGGTAAAATTATATTAGCCTGCTGTGTTTTACACAACATGTGTATAAGGGCTGGTATTGAAGGTCCCTAGTTGACTGAAGAGGAACACAAATCGGAGAGAACCAGGCAGGTTCCCTTTGAAACAGCCGCATCTTCTACTCAAGCTCTACAGGCAGGTCGAAGGGCAAGGAATTCATTAATACAAATGTTAGAAAAGAACCGGTAAGATAAACTCAAACAACAAACAATTGTGCAAGTAGATTAAAATAAACTCAATTACAAACTTTTTTTTGTTTTAGGAGATAATCATCATCATCATCATATTAGCCACATTTATGCCGTTTATTTGTGATTAAGTAACAATCAAAATCCATGCTTTCTCATTTATAATATTATAGGATTAGGAATTAATATTACTGAAATGTATGGCACTCACTTCTTACCTAAAACATACACTTCTTCTTATCTTGTTATAATTGTAAGCAATGCGTTTTTTTTAATGTTAACTTTTATGTCTAATGAATTTAGTTAATATTGCATATTGTACAACATTATCTATTTAGATATAAATTTTCGAGTAGGTACCTAGTAGACAGTAATTTCTCAACTAGTTGAAAGTTATTTGCTCTTACCTATCCGATGTGTAGATAATTAATTTCAATACCTACACATTGTAATTTTCCATCACAAAAATTAACAAAAGTTTACACTTTTGTCATGAAAAATTACATTACCTTAAAGGTCATTTTACAAATTTGATGACTCTGTATGAAATATACAAGGAGAAAAAATCAACCCTTAACGAGTTTCTTGCCGGTTCTTCTCGTTACAAGGTCTCCCGCTTAGGGTTTGAGAACCGATGGCGTAGCTTCTTTGACATTCACAAGTGCTTGTAACAGCCTAGATTAAAATATTTTTAGGCATAAAATTAGTTCTGTTTTATTTTTTTACCTACTTATCGTTATCCTACCTACCTAGATGTTCATAAAATGGCAACAAATATTTACTTAATCCTTACCTATGACATTGCAGATATTTTGTCACATACAGATAAAATAATAACTTCTATTATTTTAAATACTTAAAATTATCTTTATATTATATCGAATTATGGCCATGATAATCAACTATCAGTAATAATAAAGTTCTTATTTTAGCTTTCTTAATCTGAAAGTACAAATAGTCTCAAAAATAGTAAAAAGAAACAATAGTATTCTAAAATAAATTTATTTAAAACCTAACGCTTATTTTGCCTTAAAAACTCTAAATAATCTCGCCCTATGTCACGCAACTCTTCCAAGGCAGCCCTGATGCCTGCGAGCTCGGTGTTCCTCACTGTCTGTCTCTCTGTACGTCCCTCTTCATACTGGTATAATCTGCTTCTGACATCGGAGCCAGCAGCAGATCGTATTCTTCTGGGACGTGCAGATTGTGAGGCTGCAAAACAACATTCCAATACGTTACATTGCAGTAAATACTTAATCAATAAGTATATTTTTTGTGACAAACAATATTTTTCTTGTAATTTTAATCTCGACTGTAGTTTAGTGGTAAGACCTTCATGTATCAAATACATCCATACATACCTTGTGTATCAATTTCGATCGAAATTTCGTTTTTCGTTGAATTAGAGTAGACCTGCTGACTTTCTTTGCTTGGGTCGGCGTACTCCTCAACTTCTACATGCAAGTCCAGGCTCTGCTGCTGCAGTTGGCTTCCTTGACTGTAGGTTGATGGTCTGGATTCATTCGTCTGAAATGAATATAAAAGATTGAATGCTTAATGTTTAAGTGAAGTATTAATTTTTAATGTCTACCACAATACAAATTGTATTGTATTTTTACCTGATGGGTTAAAAAAAGTAGCATACTCACATAGAAAAATAATTTTGTAAATAAAAATCATATATCATTAAGATAAATATTTGAACATATCTAAGTTTAGAAACAGGGAAACCAAAGAATAATGAGGTACTTACTTCAGTTAAAGCTGGCACTCTGGCTCCAATTTGGCGGTCACCGAACCCATTTCCCATTATGGATAAGACTTTTAATTCCGAATGGGAGAGTTGGGGTGCCACCGATGGACCACCTCCTGTCATTGAAGCCGACCTCCGGGAATCAGCAGTGGCTTTTTCGGCCAGATGTTTTCTATCAAACCATACCTATCCAAAATAAAAGTAAATATTAAATCTTTGTCACTCACTTTTCACTGATAAATAGCTTAAGCATTTAATTATATTACTACGAATTACCTTTTGCCACTGCTGAACTGTCTTTGTGCAACCGCCCATGGAATTGAGCGTATTGCACAATTCATCCCACAGCCTCTTCGCCTGGACTTTTCCTTCTAGACTCCTCAATCTCCCGCGAGCAAGATCCCTATGCTCGTCCAGGAAATTGAGGAGTGCATCAATTTGTTCAGGAGTAGCCGAACCCGTATGTGGAGCCATTATTTTACACTGAAAGATGAGAGGAAAATAAATTATAGGTACCTATTATTACAAAAAAATATGTTATGGAAGTATTATAAGTGCAAAACAATTAACATTACTTCTTTCTGAATATAAAACCAAATCAAACCAAATAGAAGTCTTTGTGGACCAAAGGACGCCCATATGAAGACTGCGACTTGAAATTGAAACTTTGTCAGGGAATGTGTATCGCGTTTGCAAAGTAGGCAAAGAAAAAAATACGTGTGGCACTCGGTGACTGCCGCGGTAAAGCTATTGCATAGCATTTTTTATCAACTTATGCAATTATAATTATTTATTTATTTTATTTATGCAGTTAAGTCTTTGATATTTAATCAAGTTACACTTTTTGAGCTTGGTGACCGATAAGAAAACAATTTTTTTTCTCTTATTGAATAAATGAGAAGTTAATATTGTTTAAAATATTTTTAATATCTTACAATACATGTAGGTTATTCAGGAATTTTTATCATTGAGTTAGCAGCTAGTGTACACGCACACAAATACCGTGCCGAAGTCTGCCGAGTGCCGAAGTCTGCCGAACTAAAACGACGTTAAACGATGCACGGCTTTCAACGCCACACCTCCGTGCCCGTCGGAGTGGGGAGCGTGAGGTTTTTTTCGAATGCCAACAAAAAATCCACAAGTGATGACTGACAGCATTGTGATGATACGGATAAGTTTGGTTGTTATACGATACTATAAACACCGTTTGTTTTTATTGTACACCTTAACTTAGTCGGTTAACGGTCATTGAAAGGGTTATTTTAGTGTCACTGTGATTTTCTTCGAAAACTTGTATATTTATTGCTTATGTAAGGTTTTATGGAATAATATGCATAAAAAACCACGATTATTTTAATAAATTCGTAAAATACATAACATTGTTCGTTCCATTCGTTCACGAAAATTGTTATGGACTCGAACTTTGCGTGCGCGTCCGAAAATGATATAGAGTAGGGTCAGATACGAAACTTCGTTTAAATTTCGTTCGATAACGAAGTTTCGTTTCGGAGAAAGAGAGTAGGGCTTCTCCTGTAGGCTAAATATATGAGCAGTTGCGCGAGTCACGTAAGGTTTTTAAAAGTAGACTCAAATGGTGCATAAATAACCAAGAGCAAATCAAAATGGATAAAATAGCGAAACTGCAAGCGGATAAAATTTTTGGGAAATTTTGGAAGTCCACTAGTAAACTGAAGATTAAGCCTAGCCTGCCGGCCAGAGTAGATGGGATTAGTGACCCGGAAGGAATTGCAAACCTGTTTATGGAACATTTCAGGGTACGATCACCACTAGGCCCCTCCACGGGGATGCCTGGTCCTGAGCCTGGCGTGCGGGTGAATGAGCCTATGCTATTGTTTACGGCTAGTCAATTCAGAGTTGTAATCAAGTGGATGAGCAGGGGCAAATCTCCCGGACACTACGGGCTCAGTATCGAACACCTAAAACATGCGGGTATACGCCTACCAAGGGTCATGTCTCTATTGTTCAATTAGTGCATTGGACATTCATATCTACCACCGCATCTAATGAAAACCATTGTGGTGCCCATTGTCAAAAACAGGGTAGGTAATATCTCTGGGATAAGGGCAACTACCGCCCTATTTCTCTAGATACCACGGTGGCCAATGTATTGGACAGTCTACTTGATTCATGCTTGCAAAAGTATCCGAAGTTACATGACGCGCAGTTCGGGTTTAGGCCCGGACTATCCACTGCGAGCGCAATACTAAGCCTAAAGCACACTGTCCAATATTATACAAGCCGGAGGACGCCGGTGTACGCCTGTTTTCTAGATCTCTTCAAAGCGTTTGATCTGGTTTCGTATGATGTGCTTTGGAGGAAGATGGAGGACAGGGGTATTCCGGTGGAGGTGCTAAATCTCTTTCGGTATTGGTACACAAAGCAAGTAAATTGCGTTTAATGGGCTGACCAATTGTCCAAGTCGTAGAGGTTGGAGTGCTGAGTAAGGCAAGGTGGGCTGTCGTCTCCAAAGCTGTTCAACCTATACGTAAACGACCTCACAGTGGAGCTCAGCAGCATGCGAGTCGGATGCAACGTGAGTGGTGTTAATGTAAACACTATTAGTTATGCGGATGACATGGTGCTGTTGGGCCCCACTACGAGTGCTATCAGAGAAATGTTGAACGTATGTGAGAGCTATGCTAAGTCGCATGGTCTGGCCTACAATGCCAGAAAAACCGAATTTATGGTCTTTAAGGCCGCCGATAAGTGTCCCGAATTTATACCTCCAATTTGCCTCGGTGGAGTGGAGCTGAACAGAGTTTTTCAATTTAAGTACCTGGGTAAGGTCGTCGGTAAGTTTGACGACGACCTTAGAGACGATATAGACATAGAACGGGAGCGTAGGGCTTTGGCGGTCCGTGGTAACATGCTTCGTTTGAATCCAAGGCACCATGAATGCACAAAAATAACACGAGGAGGTAGTAGAGCCGGTTATTGTCCCACATAAAATCGAAATTTTTTACGTGGTAGAGCTATGGTGGTGGTAGGTTACGTTGTATAGTTGTAGCACGAATGGGTCGACTCGACCGGGGAAGGACCACGCTCTCACAGAATACCAGCATCAAATAGCAGCTTAATGCTGCTGTCTTTCGTATGGTGAGTGTAGAGAACCGGAAACCCCTTTTACTGGAAAAGAGGCATTTCATCTTAGTCCTCAAGGCTGGCAACGTATCTGCATTGCGATTCGTAAGTGAGGATAGATGTAGATGTCACAGCAACCACTCTACCATCAGGTGGACTGTGTGCTCGCTTGTCACCCTTTTCCTATAAAAAAATGGGCTAAAAAATTCTACTCATGCACGATAAT